GAGGGGAGGGTACAGGGGACGGGACAACAGAGCCTGAGGAGGGGACGGGGACACCGAGAGGGATACGAGGAGCGGGGACAGACCCAGGGAAAGGGGGACACGGACCCCGAGATGGGACATTGGGAGAGGGGGACACCAAACTGCGTTGGAGGGTGGGTAGGACGGGGACACCGGGGACGGGGTGGACAAAGGAGCCCCCGTGTCTGCAGGGGTTGGAAATGAGATCCTTAATTTGGGGAGGGGGTGGATAAAGGAGCCCCCGTGTCTGCAGGGGTTGGAAATGAGATCCTTAATTTGGGGAGGGGGCACCCAAACCCCCCCCCCCCGGGGGTAGCAAGGCCTGAGGAGCCAGTGGGGGCGGGGTTTCCATAACCACGCCCACTTAATCTACATACAGCGCATGGCCACGCCCCCTACGCCGTACGTGACCACACCCACGCGCCGTGCGCGGTCTCAGCCCGGCGCATGCGCAGTGTCATTCCCGCCCCTCCCGTCCCGCCGCTGCCGCGGCCCCTCTGAGGCGGCCGGTTCGTACCGGGAACGGGGGAGAGGGAGAAAAAGGGGGGGATGAGGGGAAAGGGGGTTCTTTGAGGGGGGGGTCTGTGGGCAGGGGGGGTCGCTGAGGGGTCCCAGTGCTGAGGGGGTGATCCCTGTTTTGAGGGGGGGGGTCCTAATACCAGGTTGGGATCCATGAGGGGTCTCGGGGGAAGTCCCTGTTTTGAGAGGGGGTCTCTGTACCAGAGAGGGTCCCTGAGGGGTTCCCAGGGGTCCCAGTGCCAGGGTGAAGGTCCCTGAGGGGTCGCAGTGCCAGGGGAGGTCCCTGAGGGGGTCCCAGTGCTGGGGGGAGGGGTCCCTGAGGGGTCCCAGTACCAGGGCAGGTCCCTGAAGGGTCCCTGAATTGAGGGGGGTCCCTGAGAGGTCCCCAGGGGTCCCAGTGCTGGGGGGGGGTCGTCCCTGAGGGGTCCCTGAGTTAAGGGGGGGATCCCTGAGGGGTCCCAGTGCCAGGGGAGGTCCCTGAGGGGTCCCTATTTTGAGAGGGGGGTCCCTGAGGTGTCCCAGTGCCAGCCGGCTGTCCCCAAGCCACATCCTACACGTGTCCCCTCTGTGTCCCCCCCTGCTCCCAGCTGAGCCCCGGCTGTCCCCGGCTGTGCCCGGTGGCCGTGCCCGGTGCCCGGTGGCCGTGCCCGGTGCCCGGTGGCCGTGCCATGGCGTGGCGTCGCCAGTGGTGCCACCTGTGCGAGCTGCCCAAGCCGCCCTGGGCCGTGGTGGGCGACTTCAGCCAGGCCGTGTGCCGCGGCTGCGTCAACTTCGAGGGCGCCGGCCGAGTGGAGCTGCTGCTGGCCGCTGCACGCCACCTGCGGGGCCACCACGAGGCCACCAACCTGTCACTGTCACCGAGTGTCCCCAAGGAGCTGAGAGAGGCTCTGTGCACCGAGCATCGCCTGCGGGGCCACCACGAGGCCACCAACCTGTCACTGTCACCGAGTGTCCCCAAGGAGCTGAGGGAGGCTCTGTGTGGTCACATCACGTCAGAGAGCACCTGGGGCCACCACGAGGCCACCAACCTGTCCCCGAGTGTCCCCAAGGAGCTGAGCCAGGCCTTGTGTGGCCGCGTCACCTCCGAGCGCCGCCTGCGCCGCCGCCACCACCGCGATGTCACCGCGGCGCTGCCACCGGCACGGGACGTGTCCCCGAGTGTCCCCGCGGAGCTGAGCCGCCACCGTGACACCCTGGCGTTGTCCCCGAGTGTCCCCGCGGAGCTCAGTGACGCCCTCCATGGCCGCGTCACCTCGGATGTCACCGAGCGCCACCCGCGCCGCCACCACCGCGATGTCACCGTGCCACTGGACGTGTCCCCAAGCGTCCCCGCGGGGCTGAGCGAGGCCTTGGGCAGCCGTGTCACCTTTGGGGGCGCCGAGCGCCGCCGCCACCACCACGCCAGCGCCACCCGGGCGTTGTCCCCGAGTGTCCCCGCGGAGCTGAGCCGCCACCGTGACACCCTGGCGTTGTCCCCGAGTGTCCCCACGGAGCTGAGCGAGGCCTCGTGCGGCCGGCTCACCTCGGAGGGGACTGACGGTGGCCACCAGGCCACCCCTCCGGCGGTGTCCCCGGCTGTCCCCGCGGCGCTGAGCGCGGCGCTGGCCGAGGCGTGGCCGGGCAAGCCGCGGGCGGTTCGGGAGCGCCTCTCGGTGCTGGCGGGCTGCGCCCCGTTCGCCGTTCGCTTCCGCAAGGACCACGCGCTCGTGGGGAGGGTCCTGGCCTTCGACGCCGCCCCCCGAGGCGGCCCCGGCGCCGGTGGCGACTTCGAGCTGCGTTTGTTCGCCGAGTACCCGTGCGGCTCCGGCAGCGTGTACGGAGCGCTGGGCTTGGCCCGCAGGATGTTCCAGGACTGCCTGAGAGCTCCGGGCAAATCCATCTCCTCGGGCTACAAATACCTGGAGTACGAGAAGCGCCAGGGCAGCGGCGAGTGGAGGCTGCTGGCCGAACTTTTCACCGAGTCCGTGCGTTTTTTCCGCCACCCGCCGTCCCCCGAGGCGCTGCCGCAGCAGCAGCGCTGTCACCTCTCCCTGTCGCCGCTGTCGCCGCTGTCGCCGCCGCCGAGGCGACGTCGCAAAGCGTCCCCCGAGGCGCGGGTGGTGGCGGGCGAGGCGCTGAGCTGCGGGCGCTGCCGGAGGCTGCTGGAGGACACGCACTTCGTGCAGTGCCCGGCCGTGCCCCGGCACCGCTTCTGCTTCCCCTGCGCCCGCAGAGCCATCCGGGCCCGCGGGCCCGGCAGCGCCGTGCACTGCCCCAGCGGAGGCCGCTGCCCCCTGGCCGGCTCCGGACTGCCCTGGGCCTTCATGCAGGGGGAGATCGCCGCCATCCTGGCCGGAGACGTCAGGGTCAAGAGGGAGAGGGACCCCTGAGGGACACTCGGGGGTC